GCGTCAGTAATAATGGTCCGTGGGGAAACACGGTGTTCCGTGTGTAGTTACAGTAAATGGACTAAACGAAGTCTGGAGGCAAATTATTTGATGATTTTTGTATTCGAGTTACTCGAGGTATTCGAGGAATCGTTTCAGCCCTACTCTTAACTTCAACAATTTAAATGTGACGGATAAGATTAATCTTGGAATCGCTGATTTATGATGAATGTATAAAATCTTGTTTTGATTCTGCATGTTTACATATGCACTTCCGACATAACAGACTTTATTACTATCGCTGAAGCATTTCTATCATAAAACAGAGACTGGATAGTCACACTAAACCCACAGACCTTTCAAAACATGTATAATTTGTCAACATTCATAACATTTGTGAGCAGTTGCCTATAAAGTGAATGTAAACAAAGGTAAAGTGACAAATGGCCCAAGGGCATGGATCAACAGGTTAATATATTCTTCACAAAAAGATTCTTTAATTAACTGTTCACAGAAAGATTCTCTGGGAATCCCAAAATGGTTCTTCTACTGCACTGTTATGAAAACCCACTTTATTTTTAACACCGTGTCTACACTGGGTGGGACTGCTGTCGCTTGAGGCTATCTACACTGTACACGCGTACAGTGTAGATAGCCTCAAGCGACAGCAGTCCCACCCAGTGTAGACAGTGAACAAAGTGACAGTTGCAAAGCGAACATTTTGTCCCTTATGCCAAAGGTAGTGCAAGAGTTTGCAATGCGCCATAAATAGAATGGGGCATTCGTTTACTACTGGGGACTCGTCACATCCAGCGACAGAATCACATAACTGTTTCTGTTGGCTTTTGTCGCATCGTACCGCTCACAGCCGGTGTAGACATGGTGTAAGAGTGTGTGTCATCATTCATCTAGTCTAGTCAATGGGACCAGGGACCAATTATGACAGATATTCAGAGATCCCTGGGTGAGCAGCAGTTCCGCCACGGTTGAAAAGAGGCATCCAACTATCACTCTCACCCTAATACTGACCTAAAACTGAAGCTCAGGCAGATCTCCACCACTTCAGCACTCTTTGTTTCTAGAGCCACCATGAAACCCTGTCCACAGTTGTATCCTTTGCTTAATCTTCATCTTTCACTCCCTGTCACTCTCTTTTTCTCACCTCAGATCCGCTGTCATCCGTCCCTCTCTCGTTCTCTCCATATGTTCTCCATCTCACCCTACACTGATTACACTCACATACGGCCTTATCTGCTACTTGTCCACATTTGCCAACACATCAGTGATCTGATCAAGAGCACAAGCTCTCTTATGAACGTATGCTTGGCACGTAGGCAGATCTGAGTTCATTAAAGCTCTAAATGTGTATACCCCATTGTAATCATTCTCCCAGATGAATGACAAATAAGCCTTTACTGATATAATGAGTGCCTTCGTTAACCCCTAATGAGCTAATATGGCTGCACACACAAGCCACCGGCGTGGCGAAACTGCGGAATTTATGACACACACACAAATAATTTGGTATTTTTATCTTCTTCTCTGTGTTTAGGTTGTTAGATGATAGCAGATCTCCCCTGAGTAAGAAAATGTTACAGCAATAAAACTTTTTTTATTAGAAACACTAAATCCTGCCGGAGAGACGCGAAGGAGTCTCTTCATCTCTTTCTGTCTAAAATAAACATATTATCACCCCTTTTTTCATTCCCCTCTCTCTATGTGTAGCCCTACTGGGAGATGAGAGAAGATGTGCCAGAGGTTCAGCTTGTGATATGAAAGAATGATGTAGAAACTGAAGTGGTGTTCTGCCTGCGCAATTGCAATACCCTTCCCTCTCCTCTCAACCTGTGGTGAAGGTGTGTGTAGGTTACCTATGGCCATGAAGTCCTCCGGCTCCCACGGCTGAAGCTGGGAGAGGGGTCCGCTGTAGAGCAGCAAGCCATCTGCCACCTCTGTGATGAACTCCAGTGAGAGGTGGCTCTCGAAGCATGGCCTTATAGGGGGAAACCAAGCATAGCCGTTGCCATGGAAACTGTGTTTTGTCTGCTGGCACTCGGGTCCCTCAAACTGAGCCGGGCACTGGCATCTATGGTATGCACACAGGAAATCAAAAGCTCTTATTAAAAACAGTATGAGTTTCGGGTTTTGTACACGTGCTACTGGACTGACCTGGACCCAAAAGAAAAAAAATATAAAACAGACAAAGAGAAAGACAAAAATATTTGTGGTAGTCGGACATTGTGGTATTACACAGCCCTAAATAAGCCTGAACCAGGAACATTTTATTTAAAAATGTAGGTTATCCGATATTATTATGAACTTAGGCAAGGCAAGTTTATTTATACTGTAGCACATTTTAGACACAGTGGTAATTCAAAGAGCTTTTACATAGACAAGATAACAGACAGATAGATCAGGGATGTTCATCTCCATAACTGACGCCGATGTGATACACATCTCGATGCATATCCAACAATACGATGCATTAAAGATAAATATGAAATAGCTACCGGTGCAATGCGATATGATTCACCCCATTACGATGCAGTGTGATCTGATTTTCATTAGATTCAACACAATGCGATTCAATGCAAAACGGTGCAATGGAAACAAAATATATATATGATGCTATACATAATATAGTACAGATAGTTGGATCTCCATCTAGAGCCATGTTAATCTATATTCTATGTGACTCTCAGGACGCGCCTCAGTCTCCATAGTTTTGTGATGCGTCATATTCACGTAGCAGCAGTGATGAGAGAACGCACTTGAGAAACAGTTTAGAGAGGAGAAATCAATCTACATATAAAATATTGGTCACAAATTATTGGTCACTTTCTAAATAATAAAAGTATAGCACATCCACTAATAATTATATAAAAATAAAAAGTTTATTTTTTTTTAACCAATGCAAATATGTTAGAAGCAATGCATCATGATACAATTGCCAACTTGTACCTGATGCACACTTTTTTAAATCAATGCATCGTTAACTTTTTTGCAGATGCACCAATGCGAATCGGTGAATCTTACCATCCCTAAGATACTGTAGACAGACAGACAGACTGACAGACAGAGATAGATAGATGTTGCTTAATTTAAGTAATTGCCACTGACATATTTATAATCCCAATTCAGAAAAGGGAAGTAGGACCTTTTCCCTATATGGCCCATACATTTTGGAATAGTGTTCCGTGCAGAATGCTTTCTTAAATGGATAGTTCTTTACTTTTCAGTCATCATTTACTCACCCTCACGTTGTTCCAAATCTGTACGACTTACTTGCTTCTGTAAAACACAAATGAATGTCAGTGGGGTTCCAAACAACATTGGATGCCACTGACTTTCATATGACTTTTCACAGAATAAAGCATACAAGTTTCGAATGACACACGGGTGAGTAAATGATGACAGTTTTCATTTCTGGGTGAACTATCCTATTAAGTCTAGACTAAAGACCCAGGTAAGCCAAACATACAAACTTGATTTTTCTCAAAGCTTTGTATCCCACTCCCACCTCATCTCAGTTGCTGAGTGATGCAACCTGTCAAATACAGCCTATACCAGCCAGACAGTGAGGTATGCTTCACTGACCACTGCCTGCATCCCCTTCAGTCATTTTCGGATGCACTTCAAAGACTATAGATCCATCATCGTCATAATTTAATCATTATCCTTACAACAATTTTCTATGAACATATTAAACTACTTAATTTATAACAAATGACAAGTACTACACAAATCTTACAGGGACAGTTCACCCAAAAATGAAAATTCTGACATTAATTATTCACCCTCATGTCGTTCCATTTTAACTTTTCGCGCATGCGTCATGGTACTTTCAATAATGGGGGAGGTCGGTGACGTGGAAGATAAGAATGGTTGAATAAAGTCGTTATTTTTGTTATCTTTGCACACAAAAATGATTCTCGTAGCTTCGTAAAATTATAGTTGAGCCACTGATGTCACATGGACAATTTTATTGATGTCCTTACTACGCTTCTGGGTCTGAGAACATTTCAGTTACATTGCTCTCTATGGAAGGTCAGAAAGCTCTCTGATTTAATCAAAAATATTTTAATTTGTGTTCCCAAGATGAACGACAGTCTTACGGGCTTGGAACAACATAAGGGTGGGTAATTAATGACAGAATTTTAATTTTTAGGTGAACTATCCCTTTAATTAAGGTGCACATATTATGCTTTTTAACATTTTGTCCTTCCTTTAGTGTGAGATATAGCTGATAAATTATTTATAAGGTGCCTTGAAATGCTTGTTTGTAGTCCCGCTATTGTGACTCCGCTATGTTAACGTTATACATTTGCATAAAACCCGCCCACTGGCTGCTTAGGCCCAACCTCAATGAACATTTGGGTAAGTGATTTTGCTATATCACTGTTAACAGACACTGTTTTTTTGCTTCAAGGCCATAAACCATTATATGTACTTCCAATACCTACACCATAGTTACCACAGATATTATCCATATGGTAAGGGGCACTGCCTTTCCGACAGATGCTCTAAGTGGTTTACCACTTCATTAAGGGAACCTCCCAAACATCATCCTCTATAAAACTGAAACCACACTAGACCATACAATACAAGCCGATGTTGTGCATCTCTTTGCCATCAAAAATTTCCATATTAAAGGTACGCTTCATATGCATACGTGTTGGCATGACTCAAACAGTAATCAACAGCTCTCTTGTCAGCCCACAAGCAGCATAATTCACTCAGAAACATCAATGACAAATTGCTTTCTCTTGGTTTGCCACCCAAGCACTGCTGTGCCCTCAGATCCCCTGCCTCAGTGCCTCTTTGGCAAGTCTAATCAGTCTTTGAAAAATGCATGAATCTATCGCCGTCTATCCTCCATGTGTCTGTCTTCTTGCTCTTTGTTTCCTTCTCTCTCCTCACTGTCTCCCTTGTAGCTGCAGTTCTAATTGCCAGATTGAAAGGAAAATGACATGGGATGACAGCCTCTGTGCACTTATGACAGTTGAGACAATGCAAGATAGTTAGGCAGGTCAATGCACCCAATAAAGCAATCAAACGCATCATGAGTGCACTAATTGCATTGTGCGCTAATCAAAACTATTCCCATGTTTACTAAAACAATATGCCATAGCAGAAGACAGGCAAGGATATGTTTATAGGACTGACCGTCAAACGAACTACATCATCTCCTGATTATCACTGGCATGTCTCGTCTAGCAATTCCAGCAGCAAACAATTTGTCTGTCCACACTGAACATGAAACTACTGCTAGATAGGACACAATTACAAATAATTCGATAATATTTGATGTTTAACACAGAGCTATGAGGATATCTGATCAGTTGTATCTCACAGTGGGCGGAGCTACCTACCATGACACTACAGGAATATAAACCAAAAGCAAAGAAGCATCACTACTCAAGTCATCAAATTGTTCTACCTAGTGTATGTCACACCAGTGTTTACACTCATTTTGTTTATTAGGGGCCAAGCACCGAAGCTACCAAATCTGACCTCAGAAGACTACAGAGGGTAGTCCGGACTGCTGAGCGAATCATTGGTACAACCCTCCCTTCTCTCCAAGAACTGTACTTATCCAGAGTGAGCAAAAGGGCTGGCAAAATCACTCTGGACCCCTCACATCCAGCACACTCCCTCTTTGAACTGTTGCCATCTGGTCGACGCTACAGAGCACTGAGCACCAGAACGACCAGACACAGGAACAGTTTCTTCCCTCAGGCCATCCATCTCATGAACACTTAACAATAACTGTGGAACACACACTATTTATTCACTCATACACTTATTTATCTAACACTCATACTCAGTCTACACCTCAAATTTGCACATAATATACAGTACCTGTACATACAAAAACTGTCTATTGTAATATACCTGCACATACAACTGTCAATTTATATATTTTTATTCCTTATTTACTTGTTCTATTTTTTATTATCTGTGTTTTTTGTTCTGTCACTGTCATTCTGTTACACTGTGGAAGCTTCTGTCACGAAAACAAATTCCTCGTATGTGTAAACATACCTGGCAATAAAGCTCATTCTGATTCTGATTCTGATTCTGATTCTGAAGGTGCGAAGGCACCAATTGTATCCATTGGCGTTCTTCTTCTTCTTCTTAGCCTATGGCAGCCCATAGAACCACTTGCGGGAAAGTTGTGAAATTTGGCACACTGATAGAGGATAGTCTGAACTGTCGCCATAGCAAATTTGGAGTCTCTAAGTCAATCCCTTTAGCGCCACCAACTGTCCAAAGTTTCACTCATGTTTATGCTAATAACTTTTGAACCATAAGGGCTAGAAACAAAATTATTTTTCCTCTGATTCCTTGGCTCAGGCTGATTCTATATGACATTTTTTTTTCCGCCATTTTGAATTTTCTGAAAAACCTACTTTTTCGAACTCCTCCTAGGCCGTTGCTTCGATTTTCACGAAAATTGAACCAGATCATCTTCAGACCATACCGACAAAAAGTTATGGAATTCAAGTCGATTCGTCAAACCGTTCTCAAATAACGTGCGAATGAATTCTATGAAAAACATGCAAAAATGGATGTGAGGCTATATCGCAACGGTTTGGTGTATTGAGACCAAACTTGGTGCGTGTTATAACAAGCATGACCAGAGGCTACCTGCGTTTCGTCACAGTGCTACCTAGTGGTCTGGAGATATGAATTTTTTTTATTTTTCCTTATAATTTATGAATGGTTTCACCAAAAATCACAAAACTGGTCTCTTTAAATTCGGTGCAGCATGCCGAGTCGAACCAAACCAATTTTTTCCATGTCAGCAATTTTGAATTTTGTCGTAAAATGCTATATTTTACGAACGCATTGGCGTATCGTTCGGATATATGCCTTTGGCACCATGTCCTGAAGGCACTCAAAAAGTTTGGGGGCAGCGCCACCTTGTGGCCAAAAGTTATAAATAAATTTAAAAAAATGCTAATAACATTAGGTAAATTTAATCAATTGTAATAAAACTGGTCTCAATATATTCTTTGGGTCATGCCGAGAACATAGATACCGATTTTTCCATAGTTAGCTGAACTTCCTGTCCGCCATTTT